GACATGCCAAAACCATCCATGCCAGGTCCGTCAACATGCAAAAATGTGCCCGTCGACATGCCAAAACGCAGCTTAAACATAGTATCTCGAAAGCTCTGTTGGCAACCCGGCGCGGCGCATTACAACCCTAAGTCTGCCCTACCTCGCACCTAGGTGACGATGAGCACCGTGCACGACGCGCAGCGGCTTCTTTCCCTGAAGCTGGGCTGAAAATGTGGGGCTCTGGCCCTCCTTGAATCTACCTAGACCCAAAACCCGATGCCGCCCGAGGGGTAAACTGAAACCCACACGCCCCTAGACCCTAAGCCGCAAGCCCTAAGCCCTAAAGACCGCAAGACCTTCAGAGCTTTAAGCCCAGAGCCTGGAACCCAGGAATGGTACCATCCCTCACGGACTCGTCTCTCCCGTGACTTGGGAAAAGTTGGAGGGCTTGGGGTTCAGGGTTCAGTTGTTTTTTGTTTTATCTTGTCATTTCTTAAATCTGGTGCATTGAAGCTTGGGGAGTTTATGTTGAGGGCTTTCAGGATGTCGGGTGTAGCACTTGCAGCAGTTATGGTTGGGGTGCTTTCTTCTTATACATAAGGGTTCGTCTTTAAGGTTCATGCATCCGATCTTTTTCGTTTAGGATTATGTTGATCACTGGGACCAGAGGTTAATCCTGCAGCAGTATCCATCGCTCTTCTCCTATGTAAAAGCGTGACTATACGGACGAGAAACGAACTATGACTCGTGTGTAAATGGACTCAGACAAGAAACAATCACTCAACTCAAGCACCGAAGAACCCTGAACCTTAGGGTCACGGGGCGCACGGGAGGGGGAAGAGGCAAACCAACCCCGCCTGTCCTACCAACGGGCATACACGCCCTCACTTCAGACAGGCTTTTTCACATGCTTGAGCCACGTTCACCGGTTGACCTCTTTAGGCAGCTTCTGTGCACATGCCTGGGTTCTCAGGTCTGGTAAAAACACTCACGACAAAAGCAAGGGCTCGGAACTGGTCTTGGATTCCCAGACGAGCCGCGCAGCCTTGCGCCAGGTGAAAGTCCTTCTGAAGCCATGTCCGCCGCCCTGGGTGGTCGGATGCCTGGTCCATGTAGATGGTATTGGCAAGAAGTCTCCTGCATCTAAAGCTGCGGAGAACTCTCTTATCCAGCGTGTCAGCGAGCAAGACCGACCGCCCAGTTTGCTGTTGCCTGAGGCGCAGGCCGCTGGATCAGCTGGACCGCTTATGAAGTCGGACAGCGGCCATATGCGACGCACAGTTGAGCAGGCAGCTGAACCTCGCGTGATGACCACTCCGGCCCAGACTGTGCATGAGCACTGTGGTGAGAATGCGGCAATGGCGGCAGCAGTGAGCCCTGTTTGCAGCGTAGTGCGTCGCAAAGTGCATTGCGCATGCACCACAACGACAGTGCAAGCAAGCTGAGGATTCCACCCAACTCTGTGACGTCAGTGCCCCTGAGCTATGTTTCTGTCCTGGAAGCATCGACTTTTTGGCCGCATTTGCCTGGCGGTTCAAGTCCTGTGTGATAATGGTGTACCTGCTGTGTATACATATATATATATATATGTTGTATGTATGTATGTATGTATGTATGTATCTATCTATCTGTGTGTCGGGCTTTGCAACGAAGCAATGAACAAATCAGAATCACATGAATGCATAATGTATTTATGACAGTCAGTATAAACATATGACATACATACATGTGTATATATGTATGTATGTGTATATACAGAGAGAGAGAGAGAGAGAGAGAGAGAGAGCTTATACACATATGTATATGTATAGAACAGCTATTCTCTCTGTGTGTGTGCGCACATATCAATCAGTCAAACAATCGAACGAACCGATGAACGAACAGGTGAACTCATGAACGAAACAAAACGCAGCGCGGGCGTACGTGGACATACAAGGAGCCAGCCTCATACCTAAGTTCACATCAGAACCGGAAAACCGCCGCTGAACCGGACGGAAGCTTCTTTCGCGAAGCCTTGCAAAGTATCTGAGTCTCTGAGTCTCCAGCGAGTTGTGCTCCACGTGGTTTGTGGGCTGGAGCAACTTCGTGTCCTCTGCCAAACGCTCGTCGACTCAAGAGGGCCATTTTGAGATCTGAGACACTTTCCGTTGCCTTGGAATGATAGTTGGCGAAGATGATGGACTTCATCGACGTCTTTCCAGCCTCGGTTTTTTGAAGGCTAGCGATCTTGATCGTAACCGTTCTCGACTATCCAGCCTGACCTGTGCGATCCGGGTGCCCAGCGCCCGCGCGTCCCATGAGCAGCACCTCGCATCGGCTCTTCTCTGAGGATGGCCCTCTCTTTGGCACGCGGACTCTGCGTGCCTTGAAGCCATTGCCCGTCGTCGCCATGGCCAGTTCGCACAGAAGAGGTCGGAACGGACGGAAGGAGAGATGTGTCTTCTGAAGCAGCAAACAAACAAATATCCTACCTAGGCTCTGGATATAGGAATAGCCTTTTTAGGGCATTTTTAGCCATAGAGAGAGCCCTGGCCAGCGCTCTCTCTTTCCCCGTTGCTTGAGTGGGCCTGGGTGCTCGGGATCTGCGGTACCGATTTCATTTGTCTGAAGGAGAAAAAGCAGCGTTGCAATTTGGAGCCAAGAGCACAGGATCACAGCCACATGTCGAAGACACACCTTACACAGACATAGGGGCGGAGATGGTGAACTTGATTCCTGATCCCGCGTGAGGGCTCTCTGAGGCATTGTTGATCAGAGATGCATGCTGGCATCTGTCCAACAGCGGACCCTCCCGCAATGCAGGGTGCGCTCCTGCATGATCTTGTTCACCTTGTCGACGCTGGCCTTCGCAAACCAAGGGGGGCGAAACATCGGCATCAAAGCCATGGAGGCCTTGTTCTGGCTCTGCAGGAGCTCCGCCAGCCTGGGCGCGTTTCAGAGCTCGTTTATTACCGGATATTCCTTCACCTCCAGCTCAGGCCGGAGCCACTTCAGCTTGTCGGGGCTGTCAGGCTTTCCAAGCACCTGGCAAGTTCTGTCAGCTCGCCTGGACCCCTAGATTCTAAACAGTGGATGCATGTGGTGGCACGAGCTTGCATGTGTAACATTGTGTAGTTGGCGCTTGGCAAAGGTGCAGACAATTGAATTAATTGCCGGAGTCAAAAAAGGAGCCCACACTTTCGACTACAGACCTTCTCAAGGCGGGGAGACGGCTCCGAAGCAACCGAAACCGCAAGACCACACGCTTCACGCCGCGAGGCCGTTAACACCCAATGCTCAGGCCCTTTGACAGCACAGCTGCTTGCAGTCTTTTTGGCTCTCTTGCGCCATCTAAAGCATGGAAACGCAACCGACGAATACAAAGCCTTTCCTCTCACGTGAGCAGGCCTACGAATTGCCATGCGTGACATTCGAAGCTGTCGTAATACTGGTTGGTTCACGCTTTTCACATCGAGGACTGTGAGATCCAGGCTTTGTGCCTGGGAACCACGTTCTATGCTACCGCCAGCATATCCATGTCCGATTCGGATATGGCTTGTCCGTGACCCAGATGTTCAGGGCATACCTCGAAGAAACCACTTCATTGACGCTACTTACTAGGCGTGGATATCTTTGCAACTCGTGGAGCTTTCCCGGAACAGGAGAATCTCCGAGCATGCCATCATGAACCGCAAACAACTCGCACGGCCAAGCAACTTGATGACACCGTCCTAGCATCAAAGAGCCATGCTGCCAGGCGAGGCAGTTTCAGGGTAGGGTAGTGCATAGGGCTGGATCGGCTTCGCAGCCCTGGCTCCAGCACTACTTGCGCTTGCGTTCAACATGTCTGCAGCATGCGACGAGTCCATCTATATCAGCACCCCATCCTGGAGCACGGGATTCGCCAAATGGCTAGTCTCCATGGTGGGAACTCCCTGCGAATTCACCTGTCATACACTTTGCAAAGGGGAACAGGCCTAGAATCTCAGATTCTCTGACCCCGAATCCGAAGCTGGGTCTCTGAGTGCCGCGCATTGGTCCAAATGGCCGCTGAGCCCTGTACAGGACGGACCTCGGATTCATCTCTCCGTCTCGTCTCCTTCTAGCAAAATCTTGCGGTACCCCGTTATAGTAGCAATTATACCATCCCTCTTGGTACTCTTGTCTAGTAGCCCTTGATAGGAACCCTTATCTGTGGATTATTTTGAAGCTTCTGAAAGCCTGTGCGATGCCTTTAGCAGTAATCTTATTCGTCCTACGATTGCCATATTAATGCTATAGGTTGTTATTGTCACAAGCATTAGCACTTCAGCATCAGGATAAGTGTTAGCATGAGCAACAGCATTAGGATTAGTTGTTCGTTAGCGCACTATTCTCAGTATTAATCCTAGGTGCAAGAAAAAAGCATTAGGTCAGAATTACTCCTCTTACACCCACTTTGACTGTTACCGCGACTGTCACTATCACTACTACTGTTGCCTTTTGCCATTGCCTGCCTGTGATGTCTTGTCCGTGTCTTTGTCCTATTTTTCATGCCGGGCCTTGGCATTCAGGGCCAGGAACTCCGTCTCGCCCCCTGCCTCGGCCGGCCAAGCTCTGACTTTTGCTTCTTAGCTTCCTCAGCCGCACCTTAGAAGGAAGGCCCAGGAAGGCCCCTTTGGTCCGAGGCGCGCCCTCTGGAAGAGTGTTCAGGTAGACAAGGATCGTTGCCACCTCGTGCGACGGATTTGGGCTCTGGAAGCTCGCGAGCCTGCGAGGGGTTTGGGGAAAGCAAAAGCCTGAGCTTTCCGAGCGACTCGCTGGCCGAAGATGTGAAGCCCATTGAAGTTCGCTGGACGCCAGTCCACGTGCCTGGAAATGCTTCCCGGCTGACATGTCATGTACAAAGGTTCAGTCAAGTGTACTGGTGCGTCATGTCTGCGACTGAAAACTGCAAGCCCTCTATGAACTGCCAGAGCCAAGGCTCTTCTTGTACTCCTGCCCTCGGCCATACCGCGCAATCCTTGTGGCAGGGGGCGACATCTGCAAGAGTCAAAAGCAGACGAATGGGGACAAGTTTTTGGTTCAGGGTCTGCAGTGGCTCGACATACTCGGCCGGCAAGCCCAGCGTCTCAGCTGCCCATCCTCCTTGGAGCCCAGGGTGGTTGTACCGAATAAGTCGCGTGTGCACCACCCGTAATGGTTAGCCTTCACCGGCCCTGCAGAGGCTAAATCCAAGCGGCGGATCGCATTCAACGTCTCATCTTCCTGACAAGACAGCAGCCATCCTTCGTTCCAAACAAAGCGCTCAAACCTGAGGTGCCCCTTAAAAAATCCATCCGACCTCATGGTGTGGAAGGTTGAAGGTGGCGGTTGCCTCGGGCCAGACGGTTCAAGAACATACGGCCCATGCGCATCTACAGCTCTCTGCGGTGGTCCACAAAACTTGAACCGACACTGCCCCCCAAACTTTCAGAGCGCGATCTGCCGAAAGATCCAGAGCCGAGACTCCGAAGTCCGCACGTGCTGAAGCGGCAGCTGCGACGTCGTTGAACTGACCACGGTGGAAGATTCCCAAAGCGCCTCTGACATAGGCCCACCGACCATTGGGAGGCAGAGACAAGCGCAGGAAGCATGAGAAGCTCTCTAAAACCACGCATAGCGTGACTGTGGAAGTTCCAAGGAAGTCTCCGCCTCCAACTCCTCTTTCTGGCCAGGGCTTCCGTTGACTCTCTCGGTTTCTCGGAGGCACCTCCTCGTCGGCTTTGCGGATCAACGAGGTGCAGGCATCCGCCGGGAGCGCCCGGTGCATCAGCATCCTCAGTACGTACCATTGTGCAGCAGCGGACTGTGCAGAGTTTCGTACCACAGCCAGAGATAAGCACCTAAAGCAAGCTACGACAGCCCCCAGAAGCTCTGGCTTTTGGCAGCTGCAGGCTGAGAGCTTGCAACAGTCAGGTGCAATGAGCTCCTATGGTTCGAGCTTCGGATCAAGTGAGGTTATTGATGGTCTTGGGTTGCGGATTTGGGCTTGGGAGCTTAGCTTTCTCTGCTGCAACATATTAAAGGGCAGGCAGCAATAGAAACCTCTCGCCAAAAGAACACAAGTCCCTGTGGCTTCTTTGGCATCGACTGGGCCTTACAGGCCTCTACCTGCATCACAGATGCACTGGAAAAGGCTCCAAAGCCACAGTGGTCATTTCGTTCCTTGGCCGCAAGATGTATACAAAGCGAGTGTAGCTTTGAACGAGTCTTCCGTTGGATTCGTGGTCCCAAAACTACCGAAAGATGCAAGAACAACAGATCGCATGGTCTGTAGAAAGGGTGTCTCGCGCGAGGCAAAAAGGACAAATCTGCGATCCAAAAGACGGCGGCATCGAGCTGAAGCTCTTCACCCTCGGCGTGATCCCAACGGACGCGGGAGGGGCGTGGCTTAGGCCAAGACTGGATCGACAAAACAGCAAAAGCTCTGTCCGCGGCCTTGTCCACAGACTTTGTGCCAGCTGGCTATCCACGGTGTAAGATGCTGGACCGAAAACTCCAGAAGCATTGAAGCCTCGCGAGACCGGAGAGAGCAGCACCCTGTCCTACTTTTGCGGAACATGGCACCCTCAGTCTTCTCGAAGTTTCCGTTGGAAACAAAGCACTCGGTTCTTGGTAGAAGTGCCCTCACCTTCACAACAGCGGGGATCCCAGAAGCCTTCTTTAAGCTAGAACGGGGCTAGAAGCTACACGTCACCCTGAAGGCGTCTTTGAGCCTCTCGTGAACGACTGAAGTTCTTTGGCGGATCAAGTGAAACTGACACGAAATACGTGTAGGCCATGCCCAAACAGGCCCAATGCATAGCATGTCAAAACTAGCAACAGCGGCTTCATGACAGCCAACGGAAGCGAAACGGCATGCAGTCTGAGCTCTTTAATCCAGATTGCTGCTAAAGACTTCCGACAATTCCCTCCCTAAACCCTTCAAGGGAGCAGAAGCCAAGGAGCCTAGGTTTCCGCACGCCCAACTGAAGATGGATCTCTCCTCCAAGGGGGGGTGGCGGTGTCGTTGTGCCGGAACCCGATACTTCCTGGAGCCTGAACCTAAACCACCATTGGGGCTAAGTGAGGCGGCTGCTTTGGGTGTTAATCACGGTGCATGCACCCTGAATTGAGACTTGAATCTTTTGTATGTACTGCTTAACCAAAGAAAGATTGGATTTTGAATCCAAGCGCAAAATGCCATTTAGACTCGGCTGTGGCTCCTGGTAGTCTGCGCGCTGCTTCACTCCATGCATCTTGCCTCAGAGATAGGACGCTTCTTTCGGCTCTCTGCAAGGAATAGGTGAACTATGGTTTAAGGCTTTTTAGGTTCGGAGATGATCAGAGGCTCTTCTGGAACATGAGGGATGGAACCTGACCGCAAGTGCGAGAACCGATCCGATGAGCCGGACATCGACAGGCCTCTAGTAGGATGTGTTATGTAGGGCCCTGCCCAGTAGAATGTTCCTTAGAGGAGGGGGTAACAAGCGGTAACAAGCAGGGATCTACACCAAGCCAGGCCGAGCTGCTTTGCAGTATCCTAAAGACCTCCGCACGTGCGTAGCCTTGGCAGCATGGCTGAGTGCAGCAATGGCAATGCGGGAGAGCTCCGCGGCTCTCTGCCCCTAAAAAACGCCCGTTTCCAGCCCGGACTCTCCCAAACTCCGATTGAGTGCGGTATCTCAGCGCAGAGCGAACTTCCGAAAAGGACCAAGCCAGTTCCTTGGTGCCAGAAAATGATGGGAGGGCTGGGTCTAAGGTCCGTCAATTTTCTGTAGCTCTAAAGTGCCTCCTTCAGATGACTCTTACTGGTTATACTTCGAAGGCAAGGATCCGCGAGCGCCCGCGGGTTGAAGCCATCAGGGCCTGGCCAAAGAAATGTGCGTATATTGTGTGTGTGTGTACATATATATATATATATGATGCA